TAGTCGATTATCATGCTAACTATATCTAATATACGGAAACCAGAAATGTTGAAATAAGGATTTATGTGACTATTAAGCGGTGAAAATCATATACTAACATACTGTAGTACATAAAATTGTTAATCGCTTAACAATAAAATCAAGGAAGTGATTCTATCAACAATTATTTAATCATTTTATCAATAAAAGAACTGACCCAATAAAAACCAGGTCAAACTTTCCTTGTATTGTGATAAATATGTATAGCACCATAGATAACTAGAAACCAATAAGTTTCTATGCATTTTGTGACCTACTTTCCTCACATTGTCCAAGTCTATAAACACCATAATTAAATGGTTAACACATTGTTCCTAATTAGATTCAATTATGACTTTAGTATTAAAACTGATACTATAATCACTAGTGATTAGCTCAATATTTGCCTTGTTACACAGCAAAAACTTATGGTAATCACGGAACTTGTAAAACGACAATCAACACACGCTTAGACCATGTAATTACGAAGTAGCTTTTCTGAGTAGGTACAAAACTGACACCTAATTTAGGTACAGTACTGACACTTCCAAGTGGGAACTCACCTATAGTCTGATTTTTAATTCGAGTCAGTAAAATGACATTTCCAGTGTTGCACGGTTTTAAAAAAATAGGGTCTCAAATAAAGAGTGATGTGGAAAATCGAGATTTTTAAATCGAGAATTAAAAGTTAGTCTAGATTACATTCATTTATTTATTTGTACATACATTATAAATATGTAATTTACGGAAATTAAACTGAAGACATGTAATAATATATTACATAAAATACTGTTGTTATATTTTTTTTTGTTATTGGCAGGACTATCACTTATGACGCCATGGACGCCATTTTGTTTTTCATTCTGCTCCCGAATTCCGACGGTGTCAGAAGTGTTTAGTGTCCTCTGCAGTTTCTTGTTTATTTCTTACTTGTTATTTGTTTGTTGAGTTTTTTGTTACGTTTTTTTGTTACGTTGGTGATTGAGATGGATGCCCAACCGTCCACCTCTAAAGATGGATGTCTCCCTCCAAAAAGAAAGCGTCGATCATTTGTTGTGAGTGAGAAACAAATGATTCTCAATGCATATAATTATGTATGGAATCAAAATACAGCAAAATCTTTCGAAGTTCCAAAGAAAGATGAGTGTGTGAAGACAGTATCTGAAATATTGGGAATTTCGACTAGATCTGTATATCGGATACTGAAAGAACAAAAGGAGAACGTTCAGTTAACAAATCAGAAAAAACCCGGACCCAAACTGACATTCAAAGATAAAATTGATGATTTTGACTTTTCGGCGATACGACGTAAAGTTCACCAATTCTTTTATGAGAAGGACCCACCAACTATTGCCAAGGTATGTAAAATTATAATACAATACAAAATACATAATTGCACATCATACATAATATATGATAGTGAAATTTAATATTTATTAGTCATACAGAATATTTTTTAACTTGATTGTGTTCTTTTCTTGTATAAATTGTTTCTAATAATTCTTCAGTTTTTTTCATAACTTTTTAATTTTTTGTTTTGTAGTATAAGTATCTCTCATTTTAACGTGTGTACGCCTTCACGGCAAAACATAGCGCACTGCGTTTATTGATAAGATCCTCATGTAATACCTATGTTTAACAAATAAATATTTCTGATTCTGAATAGGTAGTAATTAACACACATTTTCATTGACTCGCTGAAGTTTACAAAAATTATATATGTAATACTTTACAGGTTCATCAGGCTGTAAGTGATGATCCTGACCTACCAAATATGTCAAAGAGTACCATGCGAGCAGTTTTAAAACATTTAAATTTTAAATATGCGAGACGCAACCGACGCAGCTGCTTGATGGATCGTCAAGATTTAATTCTGTGGCGTGCACGGTACTTGAAAACAATCAAAGAATATCGGAGACAAGAAAAAGTAATTTATTATCAAGACGAGACGTGGATTAATGAAGGTAATTGTATATTTTTATTTACAACTATATTAAGTGCATAGTTTTTCAGTTTCAAAATGTATTTGTGTCAGTATTGTATTATTTATATGAATTTTGTATATTAACAGGTCATACAACTGGTAAAGTTTGGGTGGATACAACGATAGAATCTTCCAAACAAGCCTTTTCAAAAGGTTTAACTACAGGCCTAAAGGGCCCAACCGGCAAAGGTCGACGCCTAATAATTTCCCACATAGGCAGTGATGAAGGATTTTTAGAAGACGGGTTATTAATTTTTGAATCCAAGAAAAATACCGGTGACTATCATGAAGAAATGAACTCAAAGTGTTTCGAGGACTGGCTTAAAACTATTTTGCCAAATTTAAGGCCAAATGCGGTGCTGGTACTAGATAACGCACCGTATCATTCTAGAAAAGTCGAGCGTATCCCCACTTCAAACTGGCGGAAAGATGATATAATTCAATGGTTGAATGAAAAAAATATTCAATTTCAACCTAGGATGATAAAAGCTGAATTAATAGAGATTGTAAAATCCCACAAATCGAATTACGAACGCTATGCTGTGGAAGAGTTGGCCGCTGAATATGGTGTCACAATCCTGCGGCTGCCCCCTTATCACTGTGAGCTCAACCCAATAGAGTTAGTTTGGGCTCAAACAAAGGGGTATGTCGCCAGGAACAATAAAACTTTTAAAATAAAAGACGTAAAAAAGTTGTTTGAAGAAGGTGTGAAAGAAGTGACACCTGAAAATTGGCGACAGTGCATCAACCATGCAATAAAAGTCGAAGACAAAATGTGCCAACTCGACCACATCATAGACGAATGTGTGGATTCATTTATAATAAATGTAACTGATTCCGATTCCGATTCTGAATATACTGATTCAGAATCGGATTCGGAATCGCAACCGTTATGAATAAAAACCTATAAAATTACTTGTATTATTCTTACTTTCCATTATTGATTCCTCTGAATCCCCCATCTTTTGTAATAATGTTGTAGTGAGAAGTTTTAATATGCTGGGAAGGTTCATATTTCTAAAATTGTATTACTTAATACGTTATGCTTTTAATATTTACAATAAAAACAACGCTCTGATACCTAATAAAATAAATCATGACTAAACTTCTAAGTCGGTCGATTGTGGAACATCACTATTGTAGTGGGTCACCCTTTTTTGTGAAAGTGACAGTTGCCCCTGTCATTTTACTGACTCGAATTAAAAATCAGACTATATGTCCTTAGATTTAGCTGGATACAACGAAATAGGCGTGGATGAATACTCGACACGTTTTTCACAACAAAAACGGACAAACAACGCAATAAAACGCTTAAAACTGACTAATACACGTAACAAAAAATCAATTGAAGTGACTAGACCGTACAAGGTCGTAATCAAATTGATAGTAGCGTCGTAGTATTTTACTAATGTTGTTTTGGCAAAGAAAACTTATTAGAACTCTAACTATAAGTATGTTATGATAAATAATGTTAAAACTCACCAGTTGTTGAAATAAATAAAGATTTCTAACCGGTGAAACACGCGGTGACAGGCTATCAATGTGGAATGAAATGAATGAAGCGGACAGATAGAACGGATCGGAGTAGTGTTATAGTGATGGGGTATACGCAAAACGCTAATCGAGTCGTGACTTATGTAGTCGATTATCATGCTAACTAATATAACTTCGAATATTTGGAAAAAAATTGCATAACAATATTAAACTTTACTTATTTTACAAACTACGTTTAAAAAACCAACTTCAACTCCCTCTTTTTTGGAGTCGGTTATTTAATATACTAATACCTTCTTCTAAGAGTACCAAACATTTTATAAAGACCGCATCAAAATCGGTTCAGCCAATTGCGAGATAATTGCGCACAAACGCATATAATAATATATAGGTACATAAAGGTCAAACTGAGAACATCCTTTTTTTTGAAGTCGGTTTAAAACAATGAATTAAAAGGACGAAATTAGCATAGGACATTAAAAAGTACTATCAATTAAGCTCAAAGTACTTATAAGCATCACTGTCACTGGGAAACGTTCCCAGAAGATTGGCAGCATTTCCATATTGAATACCAATGCTTATTTTCTAACCGAAGAAATGGCCAATCCTCTGGTCACATGTAGAGTCGATAAGCCTAAGGTTAATTTCTTCAAAAACATGATGCACACCAGGACTTAAAGGCCCAACTGTTTCGAGCCTAAACGAGTTAAAACAGTGGTTAGTTTACCAACTAGATTTGAATATGGCGATTGAGGGTATTTGTCGCAGAAGCAGCGGTATTTAGAAGAAAGGATGGTGCAAGGGTGATACACACGTTCCTTCCCACCAAAGGCCCACCGATCTTCCAAAGCAGCAATGAAATACCAGCTCGTGTCATGCCGTCGTCATATACCAAACCATTAGGTTCTAATACGGCTGGTACGCTGGCTGAGGCAAGGGCATAGCGAATAATGTCATTGATACTGGCATGACTTTGCCAGTATAGTATCTTATCTTGGCATATTCTAAGAAGATAAGAAGCCGGAAACATTTATATTATAGCACTATGGATTGACTACGATTCACGTATTCGAGTTCGGCCGGCCACGGCCGATGTTTTATAATCAGCCAGTCACTACTCGACCTATTGATTCATTTATTGAAACATCGATATTCATCGAAGAAAAATGTTTTTTTAATTATTTTTATTCTAGTTAGAAAGTAACTAAATGAATGGCATTTATCAGTAGATTCATTACACGAGAATGGACTCGACTATGTTTGTATTTATTTATACACTACCTTTTTGCATCTATCAAAGATGTGTCATTGCCCTTACACCCCATTGGTTGAAAATCAGGTTATGTTCATTCAAACTCATTCAATAGTACACCAATGAAAATGTCAAACCGTATTTTTTTTCGTTTTTCATTCATGTTGTTCACTTCGCTGGGTTCGGAACAGTTTTGAGTTTTGGTGAAATTAAAGTTTGAATTTGAAACAGTAATAAAGCAATAAAACGAAAATGACTACGGATATCAATCAGATTGGATCACAAAAAGTTAAAAGCATCACCAGCGGTGAGGTAAGTACGCTAATAAATTTTCTATGCTAGAAGACATAACTTTTTTTTTATAAATCGTACGTCGCATCTGAACCAAGGAAAAGTTTTTACTGTTTATAGGTGCACTCTGCTTTCAAAATGTAGTTGGAAAGTGTTTCTCTAGTTTCTAATTCAGATAATAATTGTGTTCTAAGGTAACACGACTTGATAATTTTGCTTTATTTTTAATAATTAATTTATTTAAAAGAACTAACCGGCTTGCTTAGATGTTTCGTAACTTTAACTTGTTTGTGAAGCAGTCAACTGTGAGTTCTAGTTTCAGAATTGGCTAGGGTGTACTAATTCTAACTGTGTTTCATCAAGCCAACTAAATAAAATAATTATGTAAATAATACGCCATAGATGGTTTCGCAACAATAATTAGTTCATGTATACCTCCATTTAATTGCAGGATGTATTAATTTCCATTTTCCGTCGTCATTTATTACTATGCATCATAATTACACAGATTATACTCATTATTTTTGTATTGTATACCTTCAATGGCAAAGGGCAGGTTTTATTCAGCCAGGTAGCATATAGAAGGATACATTCTTTTTACTTTTTTAAGTTTTGTATTATGTTGAAAGTAATTATAATGCACCAAGGTATGTACTTAGATATTATTAATTTGATAACACAAATATAAAAGCAAAGTACATAGGTTTTATATTATTATAAAAGGCTACAGGTTATCACTTTATAAGCAAGCCTGTTTGTTTATAAAAAATCTTGCAGTAATTGCACTGGACCTTGATAAAAACATAGTAAAACTAGATATAGTTCAAACTGTCAACAGAAGAATAAAAGAATAATATTAAAAACAAGAATATTTATTATGATATTCATTGAACTGACTTTATAAATAAATTATATTGCATCTTTAGTGTTTAATATGACTGTTTGTTTTTCTATAATAAAACTGTATGTCAAATCAAACCAAATCAAATCACTTTAATGCATCTGTAAAGGATGGTTTACAATTTTTAATATAACTAGCTTCTGCCGCGTCTTCGTACGCATAATCCCGTTTTCTCCCGTTTATATTTCTGTCGTAAGAACCTTCTCCTGATAATAACAAACACAAGAAAAAAAAAGATCAGCCAAATCGGTCTAGCCATTCTCAAGTTATGGCGTGACAATGGGAAACGGGTTTCATTTTTATAATATATAGATGTGTTCCACCAACTATAGGCCCTTTTGGGCACCGCAAAAATACTTACTCACAAAAGAACTTCATAATTACTCATATTCAGACTTAAAAATAGTCATCATTTTAATCAACATAAATTTTGTAGAAAGTTTTTGTCAAGTAGCTACAGATCTGATCCTGCAGGGATCGGGATCAAAAGTATTCTATGTTGCACCCTTAAAAGTAAGCTTTCATATGGTGAATAATATTTTATAAATTGTTTCAATATTTTGGAGCCTCAGCTTACTAATTAGAAATAAACAATTCTTTACACCTATTTAGAACTATCCGTTGCCCACAACTTTGTCCGCATAGAATATGAATTTTAGAACATAACACTTTTTTTTAATTTTTTTAAAATAAAAGTAGCATTATGTTACTCCTTAGTACATCAGCTACCTGCCAATAAGTCTTGCAAAATCTGTCCAGCCATTCTAGAGATTAGCCAGTACAAACAGACAGACAAAAGTTGTAAAAAATGTTATTTTGGGATGCATATTGTATATATGTAGTAAAAAGCGGTTATTTTAATATTACAAACAGACACTCTAATTTTATTTATCTGTATAGATGGTATTCCTTTGCTTATTTTTGACATAACATGTACAAAAATATGCTTTATTTTACAGACAGTAGAGTTGAAAAGCTTCTGGGAGGACCAGAATGTTGCTATCATATTCTTCAGACGCTGGGGTTGCATGCTCTGCAGATTATGGGCCAAAGAGGTAAGAATAATTTAATTCAAGTAGCAATATTATTTACCTTTTTTTTAAAGGGGGAAATTCATCGAATGACTGCTCCCGCCTGGGTGAGGCGGGAGGGATTGTCAGACTCTTACTGACTAAAAACCACCCCGTTCCTTCTCCTGTACGTCGAGCCGGAGCCCCGGTAACCCGTTAGGTTCTCCGCGACAATATTATTTACCATGCAGGTTGCATTTCAAGTTCCAACCGGCCTACCTTGCTATTATCACGGGAGACCTATCTTATGGTTGCTAAACAATGATTTGTTTAGCAACCATAAGATAAATTTTATGAAGAGGGATTAAAAGAGCAAAGAGTTTTTGATAGGGTGAAGTTTGACATGAGAATGGAAGCTGACTCGAAGTATCTTAGGCTTTGGATACCGGGGTTTCGAACAACCGCAAGGGTTACCGGGTGTCCAGTTTAGAGCAGTCCAGTTTGAAGTGGAGCAAGTCCATTTTGAATGGAGGCTCTGTCACCTCCGTCCGTAGGAGAGTACCCTTAAATTAAAATCATCCCTACACGTGGCCTCTGGGTGGTACGAATCGGGTGACACCATAGTGGTAGGCTTCGGCTGACGGCCTTATGACCACACACCGAGCAAAAACATGTCGTCAAACGGCCTAACCGTCTTCCGCCACGATGCTCGGTGATGCCGATTGAGAGGATGAGACAAAGTGGGTGTTCTGACGCAGGCAGACCGAAAAGTCGTGCTCCGAAAAGTCTGACTCTCGCTCCCGCTCCTGCTCACCTCACCAAGGGCGGGAGGACCTATTTCATGATTTTTAGTCCTTAGAACTACACTCAATTGTATAGAATTTGCTTTAATTCTATACGGTGTATAATATTAATGAAATTACTTCAAGTTATCTTACGTTTGACACAGAAACTACGAGAAAATGTAATAGATTATTAATATTATTAGATTTTAGGTATATTACTTGACACTATGTTATGAAATGTAGTGTCACATTCCATTTACACGTATTTATTATCTGTACCGATAAAGATATTACTAGAGATGACTGGCGATATGAAATGTCCGAACGAAAATTTAGATAAATAAAAAAGAGTACATTGAACTGTGAAATTGGAGTTAGAAAATGAACTTAATAGTTATTGAAATAGGGGTTATTTTAATTTGTTTTTGGAGTTGAAAATTTTGCAAAATAATATAGTATGTATGGAGTTATAAATTGTGGAATTGGGATAGGAAAATTGATTGAATATTATGGGGATAAAGGTTCAATTTGTTGATATTTGTATCAATCCAGTAATATTATAAATATATGTCGTGGTGGCTCGAAGGCTTAAGACCCCGCTGCTTAATAAGAGTGCGAGTTCGACACTTACCAGCGACTAGTAACAATGTGACTTTTTCCGAGTTATATGTACTTTCTAAGATTATCTAGACACCACTGACAAACGGTGAAGGAAAACATCGTGAAGAAACTTGGACTTGTAATTTCTAATTATTATTATAAGTTTGTAATCGCCAACCCGCATTGAGCAAGCGTGGTGATTAATGCCCAAACGTTCTCCGTGTGAGAAGAGGCTTTGCTCAGCAGTCAGCAGTCAGCATATAGTCACTAAGAAATGACTGACGCACCAAAATGTCAGTGGTGTATTTATGTGTGCGTGTGTAATGAGTTACCACGTTACCAGACTTAAGAAAGTGACAGATATCCTTCGTGTCAATGTGTGTATGTTCTGCGTGTAAGTCTATAGTAGCCAGGTGCCACAGTCGTTGTTTTAAGAGACTGTGTCCGCCATTTTTTTACGTCCTTGCTCTGAAGTTTCTATATAAAATTGGTCTCTGTTTAAATCGTCATTTTCGGGTATTGAAAGACGTGACGTGACGTTATATGCTGTAGATATAATATAATAACTATCTAACATTTTGAAGGGCATACATGTAGTAAAAACATAACATAACATCACGCCTTTTATCCTCAAAGGGGTAGGTAGAGGTGCACATTATGCCACTGTACAATGTAACACCCACTTTTCACTATTTATGTTATGAGTCTCATGTAATAAGGGGTGAGCCTATTGCCATATACCGGGCACAATTCCGGACTTCGTGTTACTACTGAGATTTTTTTTTTAAACCTAGTACTTTGCCCGACCCGGGAATCGAACCCGAGACCCCTTGCCCGGCAGTCGAACTTGCGACCACTCGGCCTACGAGGCAGTCGTTAAAACAGTTGTAATATTTATTTTATTTGTTTTTGAATCCAATCCCAAGGGTCCAAGGTTATTTTATGTTTATTTGCTTCAGTTAATTCTTTGTTAGCCCTTGAACAGGAAAATAAAAGTACTATAAATTATAGAAATAACACTAGCCGCTTGTTATGTTATTAACTCTATTGTAATTGCTTTTTACCCCCTTTTATCGATAATTGATGAATTATCATGTTGTTATTTTTAACTAGCTTTTACCTGCGGCTTTGCCCGCGTATCACCTCTTTTAATGGAAATAAAAAGTATTTCATCACCTAAGTCAGCACAAAAAAAAGTTGTAAGTTCTATGTAATAGGGGACTAGTCTTCCCGTAAATCGGATTCCGAGCTGTCACTAACAAAAACCGAATTATCCGAATCCGAAAACTCCCTATAATATTTTGCCCCACCCTGGAATCGAACCCCACAATCAACGAGGCATTCTGTCCCTTCTAGAACATTTCATTAATACATATAAAATAGATATTTCACGGCCTACGGCTCGCTCAGTGGAATTAGTGTTATCATTAGATTACAAAACGGAATATTTTAGCTGATAACTCCCTTCCCGATATTGTCAGGTGCCAATCACATAGTAAGTGAAAGAGGGGGGTACTTATTTTGTATTTTTATCCCCCTTCTATAGCTTAATGTCTGACTACGGGATTATCATAATAGAAAAAGAATCCTTATCCTTACTAATATTATAAATCGGAAAGTGAGTTTGTTTGTTTGTTTCGATTTCGCGCCGTAACTACTAAACCGATTGCATTGAATTTTTGCAGACGTAAAGTTAGAAGTCTGGATTAAATAATATACTAAATAAACTTTTTATCCCGAAAAAATTTGATATTCCTGAGGGAAAACAAAGGTATTGGTATAGATGGCGCTGTATGTATTGGTATATGTCACATAGGCTACTTTTTATCCTTTTGTGACGCTAGCGAAGCTGCGGGTAAAAGCTAGTGACGTAATATTTGTCATAATTTTTCTATGTCACACTAGCTTAGCTTATACATAGAATTCATTCACAATTTTTGTTTGGGCTTAACGCATCCACGACACAAGAAAATATTCATATTTTTTTTTATTGTAGACCGGAATAATTGTCAAATGCTAGTAAAGAATTTTGTACCATCAGACTCACGATTATAAGGGGCGCCTTTAAGGTGATACGCTAATTAAACTAATATTAAAACATGATAAACAGGATTTTTTTATTATAATCTGTGTCGAACAAATGGCATTGTAGTTAAATACTATTTGGAAAATTTAAAAATAAACTATTGTGTGTAACTAAAAACAGGTTTGTATTAACATTTTCTTTATTTGTACTATAGTTTCTCAATAAATTAAACAAGGTCATTTATTATCTTTTTAAATTTAAATAAAAAAAATACTAGCTGATCCGACAAACTACGTACCGCCTCAAATTTTTTCCCACCTTTTAAACATTCCCAAGACTTCCACGAACATTTCAAGACCAAAATTAACCAAATCGGCTCATCCGTTCTCGAGTTTTACCGAGACTAACGAACGGATATTAATTTTTGATTTATATAAATAATAAAACCAAATATACTGAATATGTTGTTGACTTCATTATCACAAAACACATTTCAATAACATTACATTCTTATTAGAAAGATTCTTATTCTCCACAGCAACACGTTACCTGACACGAATCGACGCCGACAACTCTTACTTAGCAGTCGTACTTGCGACGACCAACGAGGCATTCCAGCAGCTGTAGCCAAATGCCATTTAGCGCTTGTCTACTTGTAGAATAGAAAACCAAATTATATGGAATTGATGTAAATTTTGACACTTGTCAGTGTCATCCCCATACATTTTGATTTCTACTCTCTCTGTAGACAAGCGCTAAAGTGGCGTTTGGCTAAAGGCCCTGTCCTATTAACTTGTACAATAAAGTATCATCAACAGCCTATAAGTGTCCACTTCTGAGCAAAGGTCTCTTCTCACACGAAGAAGGTTTGAGCATTAATCACCACAATAAAGTATACTTCATCATATATGAGGCCTCATCTGACACGGAGAGGGTTTGAGCATTAATCACCACGCTTGCTCAATGCGAGTTGCCAATTTAAAAAATATAATTAGAAATTATAAGCTTAGGTTTCTTCGCAATGTGTTCCTTCAGCGTTTTTCAGTGGTCTAAATAATCTTAGAAAGTACATATCTCGGAAAAACGTCACATTGGTACTTGTCGTTGTTAAAATATACTTAGTCTATTTTATTAATGTTTCAGTTGAGTGAAATTGCTCCAGTATTGAACAAGCACAATGTGAAGTTGATCGGTATCGGCGTCGAGGAGGCCGGCTCTAAGGATTTCATAAACGGGAAATATTTTGATGGAGGTTCGTATTTTATAGTCAAATTACGTATTTTATTGCACAACTATCAGAAAACGCTACTTCGACCGCGTTTGTCTAAAAATAAAAGTAGCCTATGTTACTCCTATAAAATGCACATAGAATTCACGTCAAAATCGATCCAACCATTCCAGAGATTAGTCGGTACAAAAAAATAGATAGACAGACATACAAAAATTCTAAAAAAATATTGTGGTATGTCTATTTTCATATCCATGTAGTAAAAAGCGGTTATCCTTACTTATATTATAAATTGGAAAGTGAGTTGATTTGAAATATTCTTTCAAGTGAGAGATTTTAATTTGTTAGTATGGAAACTTAAAATTATCTCTCTCAGATTCTCTAAACTTTTCTTTGAAAATAATCTTCACTAATTTATAGACCTTGATATATCCTTACTTATATTATAAATCGGAAAGTGAGTTTGTTTGTTTGTATGTTTGTTCCGCTTTCACGCCGTAACTACTAAACCGATTGCTTTGAAATTTTGCAGACGTAAAGTCTGGATTAAATAATAGGGTACTTTTTATCCAGTAAACATTTGATATTTCTGAGGGAAAACAAAAATATTGGTATAGATGGCGCTGTGTGTATTGGTATAGATGGCGCTGTATATCATTTAAAACCAGTCAACGAATTAAATATCTAAATAGCGCGCTACATCCGAATTCCACGCGAGCGGAAAGCTATTTGTTTGTTTGCCTGTCTTTAACGGCAGAATGGAGGTACTAATAAACGTGATTTTTTAACTGAAGGTAGTTGAAGGAATGGATAGTCACATAGGCTACTTTTTCTCCTTTTGTGACGCGAGCCCGATTTTATGAGCCCCAAGCGTCGCCTGAAATTAGTCGAGTTGTCTCGTCAAACAGTTAAGTGAGTAAGCATCTAGTTTCACAGATGGACAGACTAATAGACATTCTATTTACGTTTCAAAAGTGCCTGTGTATGAAATCTTAAAATAAAATGCTTGAACTTTGACTTGACTGACTTTCAAGTTGTAACTACGGATTAATTGAGCAATTAAAAAAAAATATACTTACGCTGGACTTTAAAGCTCTATGACGTAAATAAGTTAGTTAGACATAATATAATATCAAACCTTTTATCTCCGAAGGTGTAAACAGAAATGCACATTATGGCACTTAATGCCACTTTACAATGTAGCAACCACTTTGCACTATTTATGTTATGAGAGGGTGAGCCTATTGCCATATACAGGTTAAATTCCAGGCTCCGTGCTACTACTGATTTTATTTTAGTTAGGATTCAGTAAAACCCACGATATAAGTCATAATAATGTAATAATACTATTTTTAAAATATTTCAGATCTGTACTACGTGGACAACATATCAACATACCAACAGCTTGGCTTCAAAAGATTTAACGTGGTCACTATAATCACATCGCTATTCTGGAAACAGTCCAGAGACGCCATATTTAAAGGACGCGGCATGGGTAAGATGGAATTCAAAGTCTTAGTAGGTTGTCTAGCTCAAAATGTAGACCTATTTTGATATTTTGAATATATTGTATTCTGGTAAAGTTGTTTTAAAAGTAGGTAATGTAGAAATATTGATAGATTTATGACTGAAATTGATAACTGATTTTAATTAAGTTTTTTCGGTTCGATCTAAGTTTTTAACAGAAATTCAATAGATTTTATTCCGAAACCGATCGATTACTAATATTGGACGTTAAATACGTACTCGTAGAAAACATAAAAGTAATATAAAGTTACTAGCTACTTCCGCGTGGTTTCACACGCTCTGCTCAGCTCCTATTAGTCGAAGAGTGATGTTTTATAGCCTATAGCCATCCTCGATAAACGCGTCGCGTCGCGTAAGTCGATAAACGCGCTATCCAACACAAAAAGAATTATTCAAATCAGACTTATAGTTACAGAGATTAGCGCGTTCAAACAAACAAACAAAAAAAAAACAAACTCTTCCGCTTTATATAATAGTATAGGTAAGATTGTCTAACCAACTTTTTGGCGTTTAAAAAGTGTGGGAGAGCCATGCTTCGGCACGAATGGGCTGGCTCGACCGGAGTGATACCACGGCCTCACAGAAAACCGACGTGAACCAACGGTTGCGTTGTGTTTCGTAGTGTGAGTGAGGATACCGAATACCGGAGGCCCAATCTCCCCAATCCCTGAATCCCCAACAATCCTCAAATGTAATCCTAAAAGGCCGGTGACGCACTTGTAACGCCTCTGGTGTTCCAGGTGTCCATAGCGACACCGATTGCTTATCATCGGATGGTCTTTCTGCTCGTTGGCCGGCTTGTCCCTTAAAAAAATGAAATAGTTTGTAAAATAGACATAATTTTATTGATCTTCAAGTATATCCTTCTTGAGCATTGAGATAATAATGATCATTGACATTGAACAATGATTTCCGCATGACTAGAGGTCGCTAGTGTGACGTCAATTCAAGCCAATAACTTCATCAGTGATCTATGACGGTTACACGTTTTGAACAAGACTTTTAACACTATGCTAGCGCCACCTAGTGAACTCAGAATCTTTCCTAAAGTAGGGTAGTATATTGTAGAATAGAGTTGAAGTAGCCGTTTGATTTGTAAATCCGTTGCCGATTGTGCCGGTAGGTGGATGGATGTTTCTTTTGCGCAAAAACTTATTATTTTTTGTTTAATGCAACTGAACTGAACAAACCAATTGTTATAAAAAATTGGCTCAATTAATCAGCGTAAATGATAAATGTTATGTTTCAACCTACATAGCAATACCAAATGACTTGGCTGATTGTATTGTAGGCAATTTATTTTATTGTCAAAGTTTATTATAATAAATTAACATTTTAAAAGAACGTTCATCCATCACGTAGACCAATACAATACGTAATAAAGAAATAACATGGAAGTACGCCACAGGCCTGGAGACCGATTTAATCGGCGACGGATTACAAAATGGCGGCGCCTTATTTGTGAAAAATGGCGGGAAATTGTTGTGCCACTTCGTGCAAATGGGCCCTGCGGACCGATACCCAAACCAGGACGTGCTAGAGGTTTATTTTTTCCATATTTTTCTTTTTTTTTTCATTTAATTTAGGATTGGGAGGAGATTTGAAGGGAGATTGGGTGCAAACCGGAGGCGCTGTGCTTGTCCAAAAGGGCGGGAATCTCCTACGTCATTTCACTCAAAGTGGCCCCGGTGATCATTTGTCTAATAAGGATATCTTGAAGGTTTGTATCAATTTTTTTTATTTTATTGTTTTAACTGACCTCAAGTAAATAAGAGCCATGTGTGGGTCTTTTTTTGAAATTGCCTACTAGTTGATTAAACATTATTTGTCAAAGTTGATTAGGGCCTCGTTGGCCGAGTGGTCGCAAGTGCGACTGCCGGGCAAGGGGTCTCGGGTTCATTTCCCGGGTTGGGCAAAGTATTACAGGGTTTTAAAAAAAAATCTCAGTAGTAGCATGGAGTCTGGAAATGTGCCCGGTATATGGCAATAGGCTCACCCCCTATTATATGGGACTCATAACATAAATATTGAAAAGTGTTACATTGTACAGTGGCATTAAGTGCCGTAATGTGCACTTCTGGCTACCATTTCGGGGATAAAATGCGTGGTGTTATGTGCATAACTTTTTAATGATTTTCAAACACATTATCTTTTGAAATCAGTTACATATATTGATGTGTTGTATTCACAGACATTTTGTTATAACGATGTAACGTAATGTTTCAGCACTTCGGGCTTGAGAACGAGTACAATCCAGAAACGATGGCCAATAAGAAACCAGAAGAAAAGGAGTGCACTGTACGTTAATTTGTATATTAATATTTAAAGTATTACTTTCATCATTCTATCTTAGGATATCATGGTAGAATAGATTGGGTGGTAGATAGTCAGAAACAGTAGGTTTGATTAGAATATTGAATCTATATAGAAATGAATCCCTTTTTCCCTTGGTCACGGTATCACACGTGAATGGCTGGATCGATTTCACTAATTCTTTTTGTTGTATTTGGTATGATTTAGAAAGTTCTTAAGACAGAAAGAGTCCTGAATATCCTAAGGGAAAACGATATTGCGTGTACGATGTCGCGGGCAGAAGCTAATATAGATTAAAAGTGGTTTTGATTAGGTGTTCACAACACAAGTTTACTTTTATATGTGATGGTCTATCCACTGGCTCGCCATATGGTGGTAAGCGATAAAGCGGTCTCCGATAGAGCACGTCTGCCCATAAGCAACCATATTCACTTGAACCTTGAACACCCAGGTTAAACCTTCAGGAAACACAGACTCCGGCAAAGAATTCCACTCCTTAGCAGTTCGCATCAGAAAGCTTGAAGCGAAGTGTTCACTCAATATAAATGGTCCTGTCTGTTATGTCCAATGAGGACAAAAATAGCATGGAGTCTTGAAATGTGTCTATATTCGAGTTCGACTGATTTTCTTACCGAAACGAATAGTTTCGAAGAGATATTGATTTGAAATGTCGCTTGACGACACTTCTCAGTACATTTCATACTAAGAAATGACGTTTTAGCCCCTACTCCTAAACTTTGATTCGTTATATCCAAGTATCATTTTATTATACGACAAAATAAAAAAATACGTGTCTAATATTTTTTAATTACATAACTTACAGACTAATTATATTTTAATAGCTACTTCCGCGCGGTTTCACACGCTCTGCTCAGCTTCTATTGGTCGTAGCGTGATGTTTTATAGCCTATAGCCATCCTCGATAAATGCGCTATCCAATACAAAAAGAATTATTCAAATCAGACTTGTAGTTACGGAGATTAGCGCGTTCAAACAAACAAACAAACAAAAAAACAAACTCTTCCGCTTTATATAATAGTATAAGAATTTCATACTCTGTCATCATCCTAATTATAACGATTTATTTACATGTTAGAATTGCAATGTAATCAAGTAATCATATCAACTTACAGTACTTTAGTTGTTTTAAAACTCATGTATGTATTTAATTAATTTAGAAAACCATTGTAGTTAGTCTACATAAATTGACATCGCTCTAATTATCCATTTTTCAGACAGAGGCGCAGTCCTAAGCAGTGGTTGGTGGCTTTGCAAGAGCATTCGCTAGCCCCCATACATACAATTTGGACGGAGCGGCGATGCAAACGAAGCTGGGTGTAGTTCCAATCCATTGACGATTTTCTATGACTTCAATTTACTTATGAGACTGATATAACCCGCATTGGATTGCGGGCAAGCGAAATTGTAAGTTATTACTTGTATTCATGGCCGTTGATTGCGTGCCTTAGTATAGTGAGTAATGGGTATGCGAAATTGTTCGTTGTACCTGAGATCTTAAGGTTGAGTCTTCCTTGGTCTTGCACGAGACTGGTAGAAACTGTAAAGAGTTGGGTAAGCCAAATTATTGGTTATTGCTCAAAGATTAGGCCTATAATTGCTTGTTGTTGCAAGCTTGGACACTTTCGTGTATTTGTCCGTTTTAATTCGAGGCAAAATGAACTTTAAAATGTAAGATGGTCGTTCCAAATTAGATTGTAACTTTGATTTACAAAAGAAAACTAATGATCGTCTCTCCAAAAGGTGATTTGGACCTAAAAGCTAAGTCGATAAAGTCGTGAATGGATTGTGTTCTACAAAAGGACTGAATATTTTGAATAATTGTTGTATTTAATTATTAAAAAATATTCCCGGGTGTATGGTGTCTTATCGTATTGTTCTGTAATTGCATTTTATTACGAATAAACTTATTAAAACATTGTAAACTTTATAAAGTTAAAAATTGTTATCGATTTCGATTCAGACAATTGAGGTTTGATGTGCGATGGAAAAATAACCTTATTCCGACTGTATAAAGTTCAATATCAAATGTCCGGATCGGGTGAAGAACTAATGAGGATTTTTCGGTTTTTTGAAAGTCCTCAAGATAAGCATGGAGTCTAAAATTAGGTCCGGTATATGGCAATAAGCACAACCCTATTATATGGAACTTATAACATAACTGGGGCAAAGGGGTCTATACGTGCACCTTTGCTTATCCATCCCGGGGTGACAGGCGTAATGATATATAATATAAAGGCCATATATAATACATGACTTACCTTTCCAGCAGTCGGATAGGTCGCATCAATTCTCAGTTGTCTGGAATCTGAAAGAAAATATATTTTAAAAACACATTGTAATCGAACGACATCTTCTATATCTAAATTAATGTTGAAACTGTTGAGCTTACATATCAGAAATATGAATTTTTAAGATACTAAGTGGCATACCTTGTCATATTATTATTTTATATAATTTTAATTTTTATTATTTTTAATATATATATTTTTTTTATTAATTGTCCAAATTATTACTTATTATGCGTCAACCGCACAAATCAATCTTCGGATCGTTCTCGAAACGCTCACAAAAAAGAAATTGTGTTTACAACTTGAATCGTTTTGGTTTTCATGTTATTCATGCGACATCAGCCTCTTTTTTATGAGAGAAAAATCATCGAATGACTGCTTCCGCCTGAGGTGAGGCGGGAGGGAGTGTCAGACTCTTACTGACTAAAAACCACCCCGTTCCTACTCCTGTACGTCGAGCCGGAGCCCCGGCAACCCGTTAGGTTCTCCGCGACTCCGAATCGGCATCGGCCCTGTTGGGCCCCATCTGTGGTGGTCTGATGGCTCTTTGAGGCGCGCGCGGAACGCTCGGCGCCGTACGCTCGGGTCTGTTTCTGGTCGGACGGGGAGCCACCCATGCTCGCCGTCCGCAGGCCCGCGTTTACGATGGCCGGAGATCGTATACAATATCAGCCTGGAGCAGTTGATTCCTTACTTTTATAAAAATAAAACTTGTTTTTAACTGCCACCTGTCGGCGTTTTTCGGGAGCATTCTGTTTGCACCCTGTATAATGGCCTGAAAAAGGGATTATCCACGGCATACTGATAAAGCTGAATTAATTAACATTTGAATGCCTATCCAAAGATATCTAATCTAGAATCCTTAATTTCCTAAAGGCATTTTTAAATCCTTTGGTGTTGTATCCTTCGTCTCTCGCCTTAAGGTTCAAATTTGCACAAGAGATGTATAAAAAATTTTCTTTCTATAGCTCTATGTCGTGGCAATAAGGTTTATTTTCGCTTGCATTTTTGTGTGGTTGATTGTGTCTTTCGATAATAGTTTTAAGGTTTTTTCTATTGTGTTTGTCATTTTGATGACGTCATAAATGATTGGCTCGAACAAATAAGTTTTCCAATTTATAAGACTGCGAATTGATTCCAAAATTTAACTTAAGAAGGTTAAAGTAATTGTGTTTTATTTTCGTCGATTCATATATGTTACTGAACATAATTATGATACTTGTCGACAGCCGATGACAGTTCACTCCAGCAGCTGTAGCCAAATGCCATTTAGCGCTTGTCTACATGTAGAATAGAAAAACAAATTAAATGGATTGCCGTAATATTTGACACTTGTCAGTGTCATCCCCATACATTTAGTTTTCTACTCCCTCTGTAGACAAGCGCTAAACTGGCGTTTGGCTAAAGGCCCTGGCTAGACCTTTTCTACAAGTACATAAGGGAGGTTTTTCATAATAGGGTAGATGCCTAATTTTTATTTTAATGTACGTCTGGTAGATTATTTTAAAACAGACACGTATTTTTATTTTATTACAGAAACTAAAACTTTCGACGATAATATTGATTTGAAATGTCGCGTGACGTCACTTCTATGTAAATTTTTACGTAGAAATGATTTCTGATTTTATCCTAGTGTTACTTTCTTATACGTCAAAATAAAAAAAAATACGTGTGTAACATTTTTTCACTGTCTAATGAATTTTTAATTTTCATACCTCATGATCATGCCTAAATCAAACAGACAAACAGCATTTCAACTGCAAATTGCACGTTTGGTTTGCAGTTCAATTGCAATCATGACCAAACGGTTGCAAACCAAACGAGCAGTCCGATTGCAGTTCTATTGCAGTCGTGTCAACTGCGTCTAAAATACAACCGAACTGCAATTTTGCGGTTGAATTGCGGTCTAGAGCATAAGAGTCGTGATTATGTATCTCTATATGTATATGAATCGACTGAAAAAATCGAAAATTAAATTAATTTGTTTACTTAAAATTATATTTAAATTAGTTGTATCGTCTTTCAGAGTTTATAAAGGTTTTTTAATTTGTATAATAATATATTTTAAGATATTTTTGCGTAGTGTATTTGTTTAGAGTTTGACTGTTTTTTCTCTCTTTGTATTTTATGTCGTACGCTCTTAGCGTTAATAAATGTTTATATACGTATTTATTGGGTTTTTTTTTCATTGGAACCTACTTTACGTACTAGCGTTCGCTAGCCAGCAGCTGTAGCCAAATGCCATTTAGCGCTTGTCTACTTGTAGAATAGAAAACCAAATTATATGGAATTGACGTAAATTTTAACACTTGTGAGTGTCATCCACATACATTTTGATTTCTACTCTCTCTGTAGACAAGCGCTAAAGTGGCGTTTGGCTAAAGGCCCTGGCCTGCTGCAGGGCCGTCTTAGACTACTCTGGGGCCCTTGGGTAATCTCCTGTATCGCGGGTACATTTACTAACATACAAGTACACATACACATGACACCCAGGCCCGGAACAATAATGTGGAGCACACAACGATAGCTCCGTGCGGGAAGCGAATCGCAGCCAGAGCCAGTTTTTTTAATGGAACAAGCCCGCCACAACCTCCCAAAACCGCTGCAACTCCAATAAGCCAAGATCTACAGTAGATACACATGAACACTGAAGTCTGATTTATTCCGGGTACGGCACAAAGCGACCGCGCACGCTCCTCATGAGGAAGAACCCCTCTGTGGTTTGAAACTAGTAGAGCTTTTTCTTAGTATATTCATGTGAGTAACCTGCGATTTTTAATTAAGATCAATGTATCCTTTTCAGTCAAAAATCTCCATTACATTTTCAACTTTAGCATTGACATAAAGTCGATAATCCATTGAATAAATTCGACAGGTTCGAGACGTTGATCTGCTGGCCACTACAAACAAATTACTTATCACACTTAATAAACATAAAAGTTTCTTCGTTTGGATTTTTGTCCATCAATCACGCTGAAATGAATGAACGGATTTTGATAAAATTTGTATGTGCTGATTTAGGTGATAGGATACTTTTTATCGATTTATTAAATGCTCCCATGGGATAAAACAGGAATCATAGTATACGCGGACGAAGTCGCGGGCAACAGCTAGTAATGAAATAACATAACATAACATAACATCACGCCTTTTATTCCCGAAGAGGTAGGCAGAGGTGCACACAGAAGTAACACCCACTTTTCACTATGTATGTTATTAGTCCCATGTAATAGGGGGTGAGTCTATTACCACATACCGGGCACAATTTCTGACTCCGTGCTACTACTGAGTTTTTTTTAAACCCAGTAATACTTTGCCCTATCCGACTACTTAGTAATGAAATATTTTTCTTAACTACATTTTGAGACAAAGAAAATTAACTAGTATTAATAACATTGTTATTAATCTGCCACTGGTCAAAAAGGTTATCTTGCATGTTATTTAGTTTTTGATTTTAATAATAATTATGTTTTTATAATTAACCTTTGTAAAGCTATGAGGGAATTTCCAAGAGCTAGTTATCTTTAGCTAAGACTGTAAACAAAGCTGCCAAATGCGAAGACCTAGTTTGAGCTCTGGACAGGGAAAAGTTTTATAGTACGAAAATCGCAGTAGTTTAAATACACCATTTTTTTTTAAGGAGGAAAATCGTTGAGTTACTGCTCGCGCCTGGGTGAGGGAGTGTCAGATTCTTACTGACTAAAAACCACCCCGTTCCTTCTCCTGCGCTTCGAGCCGGAGCCCCGGTAACCCGTTAGGTTCCACTATACTAAATACACCACTGCATATTCAATTAAGCCTTCAAAAAGTTGTAAGTTGGATTCCCACACGAAGCAATACTTTGTGTGGGCGATAATGCGACTGGTGTATCCGCATATGTATAATGTTTAGTATATGAAATGTGGCTGCGTCCATGACCAATGCCTGAAAAACCTACAGTTAAA